TTAAAGTTTTAGCTTTAGCGATTCATACTATATGTACAGCTTACAATTGTTTAATAAAGCATACATAACTAGCCTGACAGAGGGTTAAAAAAAATATATATACTATATATAAATAAATATAAAATCTTTATTTAAAATAAAATATATTTTTAAAAATAAAATTTTCTATAGATAATAAAAACTTTTAAATAATTAAAAAACAAGTTTTATTAATAATTCAAAAATAAAGAAAGAATTTAACTAAAAATGATAATTTATAAGAATAATAGATTTTATTTGAACTTTTTTTTTTTTTAGAATATTTATATAATTTTGTACTTATCTTTTATAAAACAGTAAATTGTTTTTATAATTAAATTTAAAAACTCAATTTAAAATTAGTTTGTCAAAAAATATAAATTATATATATCATAATTAGAATACTTAAATTATTTTGTACTAAAAGTGATTGATTAATATAATAAGATCAGAATAGAATTGTTATAATGCATATAATAAGATCAATATTCTATTATATATATAATTTAAAAGCAGAATGAGTTAAAACCTTGTAGTAAAGCCAAATTCTATTAGTAATTAATACAATACCATAAAATTGATAAATAATTACTGACCTATAGGTCATTAGTGTAGTGAATGCACTCCCAGGTCACTATCCGTGAGGTATTGATTCAATTCCACCTAGGAACAGTTTTCACAATATAGGTTATATTGTATAAGATGTATGCTCATTACTACATATACCCTTGTACTCATAAATAACCTATAGATTTTTACCATCCAACCATGGTATAAAAACTCAGGTCATATAAACCTTGACCAGTTTTAGCGCTAAGGAAATCCTTGATAAAAAACCTGCCGTCTGGAATATGTAAAGATCCAAGACAAGCCAAGAAAAAATGCCAATCATTTCAAGCCTCTTAATGGAAATAGGAAGGACATCCACCTCTTGTAAAACTATACCCTATGGGAGATAAGGGAGACTTCAATCATTTGCACCTGTCAAAAATGTAACAGGCCATAACACAATTAATGGGAGACCTTAATGAATTGTAAAACCAATGGCTACCAAAGAGGACAGCTATTGCAGAAGCTAGTGATTAGCGTTAGCACCATGTTGGGAAACCTGCAGGGGCAGATACTGGGAGAAGAAATTTGAAAACAATTACCAAGGTAATCAATCCAATGGGAGAAGCAATCCACTACGAAGTAACCAAGGAATACTCCTGTAAGGCCAACTTGCAAAAGTGATTAAAAATGAGACAATGGAAGGTTATAGCCACCCAATGATGTAACACCATTGAATCACCTGGATGTCAAGATCATGACTGGAGGACTGAGCCATCCGAGCTTCGACTAGTCTGTAGAGGACCCAAACACGGTAAAGATCATCCATGATACTCACTATCATAAAAAAAAAAAAAAAAACATGGTAAGCAAACCCACTAAGGAATACAACATAAGCCCCCTGAAGATTAATAAAAGTTACTGGTGAATCTTTGGAATGCTATAGTCCCAGGCAGAGCAGGGCAATTGACGAAAATGGTATCACTATGTGATAAAATTGGTGGAATTAAAGAGGATAAGGTAGCTTAATCAAGGTTATACAAATTGCTCATGTAATCTAACACTACTGAATACTCAATAAAAATCCGTCCTGTCAATTGGATTTTAAAAAAAATAAAAATAAAAATAAAAAATAAATAAATAATTACTTTTTAACAATATGATATAAATAAAGATTTTTTTAAAAATATACGGGGCTTACTATTTATTTAATAAATCCATCTTTGAAAAATATCTAATTTGACAACTAATAATCGAGATATTAAAGAAAAAATAACCCAGAATCTGATACGAAATACAAATTATAAATAGCAGTATTAATTAGTTGAAAAAGTTACATTCCGAGCTTCGAGCAATAGAAAACTTAATGATTAGGTCCACCTAAAAAACTTTAAAGATTTTATTTTCTCACTTAAAAATGATTACAGAATAAACCCGTAAGCATCTTAAACAGAATCATTTTTATCGAAAAAAAAAAAATCTTTTTTTTTGCTTAGAAGCATAGTTAGGGGAGTCACATGGCGGTTAAAATTTTTATTCAAATAACGTCTGTTAAAATATGGAATTTACAATAATTAATTATTAGATTGCGTTTTGCGAATTCAAGTAAGGTAAGTAATCAATATTTCATTACCATTGAGTATTTTGTTAAGCTTGGCGATCTTGGAGCTGACTGATAGGTCGATGGTTCGATCATCCCCGAATTCGACAACTAGGCCACCTAAAATTGATGGATTAACCTTTGAATCCGTGAACAAGAATGTTAGTCTTTAAAAGTCTTCACGAATTCCAGATTATCGCAACAAAATGAATACCGACTTTGGTGGAGATAACAAGTTTTTGATTAGGTTTGACAAATTTGCTCTTGCTAAGGGAATTTGTCAGTTTTTTCAAAGTCTCATTATCGATCCCCTGCAGTAAATGTAACATTAGCACATTGATATTAACTTGGAGGCCAGCGAATCTGAGAAGAAAAGGCCCTAACCTTGGCAGAAACGATCGTAACAGGAATCTCATTACGATGAGCAGCCATCAATGACGAAAATGCGTCGATAATCCTTGTTGTCTCATTGAGTCTCCCATTTTCGGCCAACAAAGTAAAAAAATTCTTTGTGGTTTTACTATATTTTCCAAGAAATTCTTGGATGCGTTTGTTCTTTTCTTTGCGATTCAGCGAAGGATCTTGGATGAACGCACGAATTCCGGAATCTTTATCGATCACCGATTTCACTTGTTTGAGCTCGGATTCAACATTGTCAAGTGTACTCGACTTGATGGCCGCTGTATATAAAGCTGTTGCATAACGACCGTCAATACCGTGAAGGGTTATCGGTGGCTACGAAGAGGAGGGTTTTAATTATATGATGAAGCACCGTAGATTTTGAGTATAATAAATATGCATACCTTGACAGAGCTCGAAGTCACCGGAGCCGCAAAACCTCGAGCCAACTAGAACAGATAACTGTGCTCGTCAGATTTGTCGAAAAATGATAGGCCACCAGTGCCTATAATAAACACACTTACGAATGTACCTTTGGCATGGAGATAATGGCCCGTCGGGTCGTGTTTAGCGAGAACATCTTTGATTGAGATATTTACAAAACGGGACGAACATCTATCTACATTATGCACATGATTGTGTAACAATGCGTGGAACATGTTCGAACTTTCGAATAATTGTGTTACAAATCAAGCTTACATATAAACCTTGACGCAGCAGTGGAAATTGGACATATCGACAATTGACTTGTTTTGTCGTTATCTACTCTCTGAAGAACAAAGGCCAGTCATAAAGCAAGTACAGTAGTGCAGGCCACAGAAATTGCCGTTCAAACGAACAATAAACCAATCAACAACAAAACAAACCTCCTAGACAATAATAGATTTTTCTTGCCATGTTTAATTCTTTCGATGGAAACTACAAATCAAAACGTAATATCAATCTTGGTGGTCAGAAAAAGCAAGAAGACAAAGAGGCACTTGTGAGGAAGATACAGGAGCAACGGCGTGCACGGGACAATGAACGGTTGAAAAAAAAATCCGCAGCAAAAATCCAGGCACTCTATCTATAATTTCGAAAAAATCGATCCGTTTACTTCGGTTTGACAAAGATTCAACGAGCTCATAAAAATTTTTGTACACTTTAGGCATTTTATCGTGGTAGAACTGTCACTGGAAATCTGCGTGATCAGGAGCGAGCATCATGGGATCAACAAGCAGAAATGATTCTTCGCTCAGATATTTCCAAACGTGATGTGGCCATGACCCTGATTAATCTAGTTCGCAGCTTCCTCTTTTTCTATCGTCCTATTAGTGACAGTCAGAGGGAATTGTGTTTATGCGAGATCTTGAGAAAGCGAAATCTCGGTAAAAGCTATTTCATCACTTGAAGTATTAATTGATTTTTGTTAATTAATTTCGTTGAACTTTAACATTTGTAGACTCCGAGATAATATCCATACCATTTCATTACGAGGATCTGCGTGACACATGGACCTTTCAATTGAAAAAGATCTTGCAGATCTTTCTTAAAAGTGTCGGATCAAATTTCACGTAATGCGAACCGTTTCGAAAGAGGGAACAAATAAAAGGAATTTGATAATCGTCCTGATTTTTTAAACTTTCCATTCCCAATGTATTCAGATATGATAGGAAGAATGCGGTTCATTATTTGGAGGCCTTGATATTGACTGTGGGTGTTGAAAAGTATGGCTCGTCAGATCAGTCGGTCGGTGGCAGGTCCGTATATGGTATTGTTAATCTAATTTAAAATTTGAAATGATATGGATATATTCATTAAATATAAAATGTTAATTTGATCCTGATTATTCCCATCAATTTGTAGAGAAATGGTTCAAGGAATTTTAGATTATTTGATAAACTGCGGCCTATATCATGAATTAAGAGAATACTTGTTAAATTTGGTGAGTTGCCTGCCTGGTTTTTTCCTCCTCTTCGTTAATTGTCGAGACTTGGTGGACCATTGACTTGACTGATAATTTTGAAAATTTAGACAACGGAAGAAAAAAATAATCCCGCAACTCGGTCAGTTGCGAATCTTTTAGTTCACCCGTTCCGTGTTCTCACCTCTTCTCATCCGACCTATCAATTGGCTCTGCGAGAATTTATTGCTCACATCTTCACCATACAGTTGTTACCAAATCGTCTCGGCAAAGACGCCTTGATCACGATTTCACTTTGGTCGTTACTAAATGACCTCATATTGAGGCTATCAATAATGGCGAGAGATGAGTGGAATGCGGAACAAGCTAGTATACTGCTAAGTAATTTGCTGGCATTCACGCATCGTATGGTCAAACAGATGAGTAACCCTGTAATTGTATGCATTATTAAATTTCATGACCATTTCGTGCTCTCTCATTTACCGTTCTTACCTTATTAATTTTGTTTTTTTTTTTTTTTTCCCGGTCAATCTTGCAGCTCGCTTATTTGACGGTTCTTGGGAATTTATCTCTACAAATTCCCATTTGGTCGCTTGTGGACAGGTCTGCACCCGGGGCAATTGGTAATTATTTTTCAAACGTGTCGTCATTTCAAGAACTGGAGGGTTAGCAGCCTTATCCGAATTCTTATTGACTTTCAATTGCATTGGTACACTTAGTAAATGAAGAAGATTCAGACGATGATATAATGGTCCAAGATCGTTATTCGCATATCAAAATCGATCCAGGAACCCTAAAGAGGATCTCCTATATATTTGACCAACAGCACTTAATCTCAGTGTTCGATTTTGCGAGACGCGCGGATTACGCAGCTCTTCTCAAGGTCACCAATTTCTTACTTACATTGATGATACGTTGGCCTTCAAAGAAGGAGGAACTGTTAAATAACATAACATACGGGATATTTTCCATGTCGGAGAACCGTTTGTCAATTAATTCAATATGGGAGGCATTTAAGAAATCAGATTTGGCACAGCTACTTCCAACTAGTCAATCTATACCTCCTAATTGCTTTACTGGTGAGCGCCGGTTCGTGATTGGTGTGTCCTTTTTTCAAAGAAGGGTAACCGATGTTTTATATATCTTAGATTCAGCATACTCGGAGCAATGGGGAATGCTCGCTCTGATGTGTGAGTTGTTTAGTCAAGTTCTGCGTATAATGGGTGATGATGAATTTTTTGATGAGAACAGAAATCCCCTTAAACTCTCGGAGATAGTCAACATGTCCACCATCTTGAAGGTACGTACACCTATGCAATCCTGGTGAAAATTACTTTTGACCATATTCTATTTTTATGTATAATGATGTAGAATGTTGGATTCACCTTGTACTGGAGTAGCCTTTCGCTCAAAATGGAAAGTACTATCGACGGTGGTTGCATCTCCTTAATCTACTTGAGAGACATTGTCACCCGATTACTAAGGCAGATCCATGCAAGAGAGTAAGTGCTGTTTGTCCCGAATCTTTCAAAGTGTTATTTGATTAAGAAGATTGTCGTCTTCTTTAGTTCCCGACGTCGATTCACTTCACTCAATCACTGGTTAATGCTGTCCGAATCGGAGATGAACACTTTCGCGAGGACGGTTGTTGATGAAGATCAAGAGCTCGAAAGAGATCGGGGAAAAATAAACATGGACAGACGTCGGTTGATGTCAATTAGTCCACGGCTCGGAATCTTATATAACATTCCTTTCGTGATACCCTTTGATGAGCGCGTAAGAATCTTCAGACAATTCGTTCGTAACGATCGTGAACGGTGAGAGGAAAATATGTCAATCATTATTTGATAATCACATCACCATCGTCTCATTTCTGGTGTCATGCATCTCTCCTAGATCTCCCGGTCACCATCATTTCTTCGAGCCCCGTCATCGTGTTACCATTCGTCGCGATCACATATTTGAAGACGGGTACACTCACCTCAATAGCGCGGGGGCAAGGTTAAAAGATTTCGTAGGTATTCAATTCATCGATGAATTTGGAATGCAAGAGGCTGGCATTGACGGCGGCGGCTTGTTCAAGGAATTTTTAACTTCGTTAGTATGAAAACTTGTGGCGCATACAGTTTTGAAAGATCGAACGTCTTTCTCTAATGTCACGTTTATCTATTTATTAGGTTGACGCGCATCGCCTTTGATACAAATTATGGCCTGTTCCTTAGTACGAAGGAGCAACTTTTATATCCTAATCCGCATGGGTACGCTAGACAAGGTGAATATTAAGCTCTCTTTTTTTTTTTTTGGTCAGTGACGCTTCCTCCGTTAACTCAATTTTTGACATGTGTTTAGAAACTCAACTCAGTTACTACGAGTTCATCGGTCGCATACTGGGTAAGGCGCTGTACGATGGAATCTTGGTAGACGCCGCGTTCTCTGGATTTTTCCTTAGCAAGTGGCTCGGAAGGTCGTCATATTGTAGGTAACTTCATTCAAAAATTTTATTCGATCAATATCGACCGTCACTAACTGAGATCACCAATTTAGTGGATGATTTACCCTCCCTTGACCCAGAATTATATCAAGGTTTGATTATCTTAAAAAATTATAAGGGAGACGTGGAATCCGATCTATCGTTGAATTTTACCGTGGTTGACAACGGTAAGATATATCACCGCTTTCCGTCCACCAACTTCTCCCCTTCATCTTATGTCATTTTGCACTTATGTAGAATTCGGTGAGCAACGTACCGTCGAACTGATGGAGGGAGGTAGCGAAATGCCGGTCACCAACAGTAACCGTATCCGCTACATATACTTGATGGCAGATTATCGGTTAAATAAGCAAATAGAGCGTCAATGCAAGGCATTCTTCCGTGGATTGTCAGATTTGATAGAACCGAAATGGTTGAGAATGTTTAATCAGGTTTGTTCATTTCAAATTTCGATCAGTTCATATTTTACATTGCGAAATGCCTATAATAATTTTGTTCAAAATAGCAAGAACTCCAAATCCTCGTCGGAGGAGCATACATTCCCATCAATCTTGAAGATTTACGACAAAATACCGTGTATGCCGAGTACAAAGACGATGATCCCATTATCATTAGTTTTTGGAAAGTTGTTTCAGAATTCTCCGAGGAACAAAAGCAAAAATTAATAAAATTTGTTACTTCATGCTCTCGACCACCTTTACTTGGATTCAAAGAGCTTAATCCCAAGTTCAGTATACGAAAAGCTGGTTCTGGAACTAGGCTACCTTCATCGAGCACCTGTGTTAATTTATTAAAATTACCCGAATACCCCGACGAAGATACATTAAGAGAGTATGTCTCGGTCTTTGATGATAATATGTTCGAGTCCGTCTGCTAATTTCTCGATTTTAATTTAAATCTAGGAAATTGTCTTATGCCATCAACGCCGATGTGGGATTTGACCTTTCTTGAAAGTTGTTGCACACACGTACTCTACTCACCAAATAAGTTACTGTATCATATAGAACTATATAGTTTCTCTTTCACATATATTATCTGTACTACTTGTGACTGGCAAGGATGACATGTGACATCATGTAATTGCGTGATCCAAGATTAATTAAGTGCTTATTGTGAATTAAGTTATTCGGATAATAAATAAAGACAAGGATGTACGTTCGTTACCCTATGATCGATTCAAATTTCTTATTGTGTCCGATCATTAAATTTTGTCAAAAAAGGAAATAGGACGAGAATCATATTGATATATTTTCGGTTTGATGCAAAATACGTAACATCTCACGTTTGTGTTTACTTTGTATTTATTTATATCCATCTCTTGTAAGGAAAAAAAAAACCTAAAAAAAATTTTTTCCTTTCCTTTTTCCACGAAAAAAATGAGTATTGAACAAATTTGGGACGAATATAAACGACAGCGTGACGGAGATTATTTCACCGATGGTGCTTCGGTAGTTTTCGTTTCTACCGCATCTGGAGCGAGGGGATATGATGCCGTGAGGCAATTTCTTGCTGCGTCATACGATCCTCGGGTACTGAAGATAAAAGAAAACGTTATATCCAGGATTGTCGGACAAGATTCTATTGTTGAAGAGTCAGACACGACCATCAACTTTGTCAGTGGCGAAGGAAGCTGGGTCGTTCCAGGTGTAGACAGTAGGTACCTGATTGACAATAGCGTTGTTATTCCGATGGTAACTACGGCAAAATTTGAGGGCGAAAGAATTATTTCTATTCGCGTCTACTGGGATCAAGCTTCTGTTTTGAAACAACTCAAGTTGATCTCTGATAAAAATTCCTGGCCTATCGTGGCTGAAAGACAAGTAGACGCCTTGAGAGATATTTCTGGCGCTCATCTCAATCCCTTTAGCCGAAATGATTTGGCTGCCGGAGTTTCACGTATGAATATTAACCAACAACCCCCGGGTCGCCGAGACGTTCATACGTCTAGTCGAGTCCTTCACCCTGGTGGTACGGGTGGTAAATCTTCCGTTTTCGGTGGTGACTCGGACGACACGGTTTCCAATCGGAGGTTCAATTCAAACAAAAATCAATCTCAATTCTCGATTGGGGATGATAATGAATCAGTGCATTATGAGAGGCACACCCATTCTCAGAAGAAGATGAATCCAAACTCCAATGCATCACAGATTCAAATTGGTGGCGATTATCCAGTCGACGAACAAACCAATAGACGCAGAAATGAAGATCCCTCAGTCCCAGGAACGCGCTCGCAATATAAACCTTCAAGTCGTATCATGAAACCACCAGGTGGTGGTGGATCCCAAATCACCTTTGGCTAAACTTTTATAACCTAGTGATTGACCACCAGATAGGAAGGTCTAAGGAATTTTCTTCTTTTCTTTTTCTTTTTTGTTGTTTAAAACATATATAGAGGTCTTGTGTTCCTTTTCTGGGGGGAAGATTTGTTGTAAATTGATTATACTCTGTATATAAATTTTACCGTTGGCAATAGTTATGTTGCATAATGATATCTTTTATGTACAACTACTTGCTTCTCTCGTATCATAATAATAATAAAAAAAAAAGTCTTATTATTGAACGAGTATCCATGGTTCCCGCGTTAATGTCAAACAAGATGATTGAACAATTATAGTGAAATAATTAACATATTTCCAAATAAAATAACTTTTTTTTTTATTATTATTATTCTTTGATGTAGAAAATTTATAAAGTTTCTTGAGTTTTAAAATGAAGACTTTGTCATGGCATAGTCAGGGCCTGCACGATTAGAAGAGAACACAATGAGAATGCAATTCATTCGTTATAAATTATATCAAATCGCATAAAAATTTAATTACCATGATAGCATTAACGATATCGTTCTTATTACTCTTGAGAGCCTTTACGGCCTTTGCGCGGGAAACGTTCTGAATAAAATAATTCATGAAAAAAAATTAAAACGTGACCTTCCAATTTCAAATCGATTATAATGAAATATAAATAACGCACGGCTTGTTGCATGACTAATTCGATGTCTTTCAATTCGACGTTAGATTCATCAATGTTCAAATCTTCTTCGTCCTCCTCGACCGCTTCTTCTTCCACCTTATTAATCGCTTCCTGTGCGACTGCAGCTTCCGTTGGGTATTGTTGTTGCTGAGCGTTTGCTTGGGCTTGACTATTCAGATCCTCGATTTTAGCCTCTCCAAATACAATATAACAGTCAGAGTTTGCCGATTTATAGACATCGGGGTTAGAAACAACCAATAGGATCTAAATAAAATGCGATTAATTTTTTTTTATCAAGAATATGTGATTGATAATGGAATGAAACCATGAAGGTCGATCGTTGACAAACATCGCGAAAAAAAATTAATTAAATTCATGATCAAGATCGCGAACGATTGGATTCACGAATTATTAGATAATTCACTCAGGAAACGCGTATACTCTTTTATCGATTGCTTACATTCTTTGGCCTTCGAATTGTGACACGGTTAATACCAGGCACAGGCTTCAACCCCAGTTTTTGCATTGCTTTACGAGCCTTTTTTTCTCCACGACTCTGACTCGACATTTTGGCGAGATCTGCCGCCGCAATTTCAGGTGGGAAGTCCCTATCTCCTTCCAGCCCTGGAACATCGTCCGAATCGTCGTCGGATTCGACGGTGGTATTCTTTTTCTCACTGTCTTCCTGAACGACCACTAGCTCTTGTTCATTTTTTGGTGGGTCAACTTCTTTCTCAGATGCCTTGGAACCCTCAGCAACATTTTCGTCTGTAATCTCCTGAATCTTCTGTTTTATTTCTTCCATTATTATCGGGTAAGCGAACGATGATTTTTTTTTTCTAATCTGATGTAACACTCGTTTACTATCAGATCAGGTGACGAGTAGTGATCTTTTTTTTACAACATTTTCATGATATTTTTTTTTTTTTTTTGACCCACAATCATGCCACGATATTTGTTTTTATTGAAAAATTAAAGTAAATCTACAATAATTTACAGATTTTCACAAAGTGATTAACTCATCTTTATACATAAGTACTTTAAGTCAGATTTTGAAAACAATATTATACTCCCCTGATAGATTGATAATAATCTCTATCTATCAAGATCATTGTCAACTGTTGATTGTCCAAAAATCAATTAATTGTTAAGTTAAAAAGGGAAAAGGGAAAAATGATTGATTAGGAAAAGGGAACAATTCAAGATCTATCAAAAAAAATCCAACAATAAAAATAATCTCTTTTTAAAAAGAATTTACCTGATTGAAATAGTTTTCTTGCTTCACTTGAATCTCAAAAAAATTTTTCTTTTTCATCACCTGTGACATTAGATGAGTCAATTTAACTGGTTTTTTATTTAAGTAAGCACCAGATTGGGATATCTTAAAAAAAGTATTTAGGTTTCAGTTTTTTTTTTATTAAAGTTTTGTCATTATTTGAAGAACTTAGATAAGAGATAGAAGTTTGTAATCCACATTATTTATCACTTGATCTTTTAGTGTCATGAAAGTTTTCATTAAGGGACTTAAGCTTTTAGAAGCAAACATTTCTAGAACCTTCTTTTTAATCATCAATGATATCATTAGGACACATGAATATGATCAATAGAAACTTATTTATATTCTAAAAATTACCATAATTCATGTAAACCAATTACTTTTGATGAGAATTTATGTTATCCAAAATTTATGATCAAATTGAGATAGGCAAAATTTTCCAGAAAACCATAAAAATAAAAGCTCTAAGAGGGTTAAGACAGTTAAAAAGGAAGAAAATAAGCCTTTTTACTATAGAAAACCTTTATAAACCTCTCATTTTAAAGGTTAGATGGGTCTTTAATTACTTTACAATCAGTTTTTCTTTCTTTGGGAACTTTCTTGCCATTGGTATTAAAGATGTTATTTGACTTTTTTGATTACTAGAAGTCAAATTTTTGAATGAAAAGGTTTGTAAACAAAAGAAAAAAAGTAAAGGCAACTCTTGAAATCATATTTCAAGTTGTTTTAAGGAAAGTATTAAGGTTTTATTAATAAATAAGTATAAAAACTTCTTGTGAATATCTTTTTTGTATATGGTTAGAAAATCAGTGAAAAGAGTTTTTCTTTATAATAAGATATTTATTATATTTATTTTGATTAAATCATTTGAGACTTCTTAATAACAAATATCTAATAAACAAATATCAAAAGTAAAAAAAAAAAATTTTATTATTTTTATACTAATTAAGTCTTAATTAAATACTCTAAAAATAATATTTCACTCTTTTAATAATTTAATAATCAATCTTTAACTATTAAAATTATTATCAACAATAATTAAAAATTAGGATTTTTTAATAAATAATTCTAAAATTTCAAAACTTGTAATAGTTAAAAAAGATTATTTATGGATTAAATTGTTATTATTTTTTTTTAATACATTATTTATTAATATAACTTTTTTTTTTTTAACCTGCAGTCAAGTCAGCATGGCATGTCTTTATTGTATATATGCTAGGTATTTACAAATTATTGTGACTTTCACATACTGACTTACTCGTCGTCGAAAAAC